TAAGCTTTTGCGCTCTAACCATCTAAAACATTAAAATATTTAAAAAAATAAATAAATATATTAGTAACATTTTTAAAAAAATAATATAAATTCCTAAAACTAAACAACCTAATCAAAATTCCCTAAACTAACAACCTAATCTAAATTCCCTAAACCATAAACCCTAAACTAACCACCTAATCTAATTTTCCTAACTATTATCTTAAGAGGAAAATGAGAGGAGATAGCTACAAATAGAGAAATCGGATGGCTTCGATTTATATAGGGATTTTAGTTTCCTCATAAAATCCTAGTCACATTACGAGTAAATGACCAGTCCCGCGTTTTCATTTATGAGGAAACAACGAGTCTCGTGTCACCTCACGAGGATTTTACGAGGAAAAAGCTTACGTGGACTTTACGAAGAAATAACCAGTCCCGCGTTTTCACCTCACAAGAGTTTTACGAGGAAAAGACTTACGTGGACTTTACGAGGAAATAGCCTTACGTGGACTTTACGAGGAAAATGGCTTACGTGGACTTTACAAGGAAAAAACAAGTCTTGTGTTTTCACTTCACGAGGATTTTACGAGGAAAGGTTTGTATATCCCTAAAATTCGAAACCATAAACCCTAAACCCAAACTTCCATAACTTATACCTCTAAATCTTCCTAAACCCCAAATCCCAACTTCCCAAACTTTTCATAATTAATTAAGTGTTAAAATTATTAATATTAAAAACTCGGATACATCATTGCCATACAACATCATTCAGATACATCATTTTCATTCTCGGCATCATCACTAGAAACATCATCACTAGAAACATCATCATCTTCGTAAAACTCGTCTTCAACAGCTTCATCCGTTGTATGATCCGGGACATCTTCGTATTCATGATTATGCGGATCAATGAGTAGGATTTCATCAATTTGTGCTTCAGGTTCCTTGATTTCATTGGTGTGTTCCTCTTGTAATGGTGGTTCTTCTCCAGCGATTATTCGTCCATGAGGTGTAACTTTGATAAAAGCTAACCAATTTATTCCTGAGGTTGTCATCCGAGGGTATGGAATGAATCAAACTTGGTCCGCTTGTGAAGCTAATATGAAAGGCTTGAATTTGTTGTACCTTCGTCCACCATTGACATCAACTACACCGAATTTGTTAATCCGAACACCTCTGTTGACAACGGGGTCGAACCACTCGCACTTGAAGATGACGCATTTCAGCTTCAATAATCTTGGGAATTAAACTTCATAAATTCTGGGAATTGAACTTCATAAATCTCCTGCAAGATCCCGTAGAAATTTGTTTCGCCTTTCACACATATTCCATAATTACTTGTCGCCCGGTGTCTACCATAATCATAGGTATGAAAAGTATAGCCTTGTGTGAAATATATCGATGATGTGGTGACCTTTGCAACTGGACCTTGAAGTAATTCGCGAAACCAACGGGGATAAGCATGATTAGCGGGATCGTCATAATCAACCTGCAAAAAAATCACATTTACTTGAAATTAAACTTACTATCAGGGATGTATGCATAAAAATTTAAGTTATAATACTTGTTTCCTCAACCACTTGATAAAGTGTTTATCTTTCCTTGTGGTTAACTCAGTTGTCGATATACCTGAGATTGCTTCTTCGACTTGAGTCACAAATTCGCTGTAAAATTATGTTATGTTAATTAATCAATTGAAAATATATAAGTGTGTATGAATGTGTTTATATTTTTACCTTTCAAAATGACAAATTTATGGATGCTCGCAATTGAGAAGAATATAAATATGTGCACTATGGACGTCTTCATTGCTCGACCACCAAACCTCCTTCAATTTCCCACTCAATTGCCCAATTTGACAAAAAAAATGTCTGGAACATCTTTTTCCATATATGTCAGCACGACACCACCATCGTCATATCTACTTGGAGCTCGTTTCCCTGTACGTACTTTTGGTGCAAAGTAGTATGATGTGAAATGTGATGTTTCTTCCGTCAAACTTCCCGCAACAATAGAACCTTCAACTTTGGCAAGGTTTTTGGCTTTTCCTTTTAAAGTTTTCATGGCACTTTCATACTGATACATCCATCTGTAATGTAAAGGTCAACGAAGCAACGCCTCATACGGGAGGTGGACAACTAGGTGCTCCATGACGTAAAACAATGTCGGCGGAAATTGTTTCTCCAAGTTGAACATTAAGATGATGATGTTCTCATGAAAGTTGTTGAACAACATCCTCTTTTAGAGTGCGTGTGCTCAGATCCCTGAAAAATGCTCAAATTCCTTATAAATTACAAAAATTAAACATATTAGTATAATCATATTTATATGTACATATATATAAAGAAATTATTACCTACAAGTGCTTCATGTACTTTTGTTGGTAGTAGCTCCGCAAATGCAAAGGGAAGTAGTCGTTGCATAAAGACATGACAATCATGGCTCTTCATCCCGGAGAACTTTTGACTTTTCTCAACAAATCTTGAAAGATTTGAAACATACACATCAGGAAACTTTACTTCTGAAGCCACCCAGTTGAACAACACTGAATTTTTTTCTGACGACAGTCTGAATATCGGAACTGGAACTTGCCCATTGCTTTTTATATGTAACTCACTTCTTGAGCAGATATCGGGTAAGTCCAACCTCGATTTTATGTTTTCTTTCGTCTTCCCTGGGACATTCAATATAGTGTTCACGATGTTCTCAAAAAAAAAATTTATATATGCATCACATCGAGTTTGAGTGCAAAAGAAGATCTTTCCAATATGGCAACTCCCAAAATATACTCTTCTTATGCTAATTGTGCTGAACACCATAAGAATCTGGCATATTACTGAGAACATTCCAATTACCACCACGAGGAGCTGTTTCTAGTGCACAGTAGTAATCGATTTGCGCTTCAATTTGTTATCCAATTAAATATGGAGGAGTGTCTCTGACCACTCTTTTGTGTCTGAACAATGTCTTGTTTCTTCGGTATGGGTAGTAAAGTGGAAGAAATCGACGGTGACAATCGAACCAAGTTGTCTCCCTACCATTCTTCAACTGAAATGCATCTGTCATTTCTTTACAATATGGACAAGCTAATTTCACATGTGTAGTCCATCCAGACAACATCTCACATGCAGGAAAGTCACTTATGGTCCATAAAAGCATTGCTCGCATCGTAAAATTCATTTTCGTTGAACAATCATATGTCCTTACCCTTGTTGACCACAAATCTTTCAACTCTTTTATCAGTGGTTGTAGAAAAACATCGAGAGATCTTTTTCGATGCTTTGGACCCGGTATTAATATGGTCAAGAATAGAAACTCTCGTCGCATGCACATCTCCAGTGGCAGGTTGTACGGCGTAAGAAAGACTGGCTATAATGAATATTGTCTCCTAGACATTCCAAATGAACTAAATCCATCAGTGCATAATCCAAGATACACATTCCGACTATTGCGAGCGAAATGTGGATGTACATTGTTAAAATGATTCCAAGCTCTTGAATCTGATGGTATGCTCGGCGTACCATCTCATCCCTCTAGCAGTCTCCTCAGATTGGTACAATCTTTTCAATCTGCCTGTGATTGGTAGGTACCACATCCTTTGGTACGGTACCCTATTTCGTCTTTGTCCTTGTGGTTTGAATCGTGGCTTCTTACAGAATCGACATTCTTCTAACTGCTCATCATCTCCCCAGTAAATCATGCAGTTGTCGATGCAAACGTCTATCATCTCCGAAGGCAACCCAAGACTATAAACCAATTTATGAATCTCATAATAAGATTCAGCAGACATATTGTCTTATGTCAAATACTCTTTAAACAAGTCTGCCCATGCATTGATGCAATTTTCAGGCTGTGATCGGTTTTAATACTCATCATTCCAGCAGCCAACGACAATTTAGAGAGACCTTCTCTACAACCACTGTAAATTGGCTCGTTCGCAGCTTCTAACATTTCATAAAACTTTTTTTCACCTAAGTTAGGTTCTTGAACTTCATCATCATGAGTTACAAATGCATTACCTACCATATCATGAACCCTATCACAATCTACCATATGTTCCTCCTGGTGATATCTATTTTCTTTATGCAAATGATCAACGACCAGTTCATCCTGAAAACTGCTATTACTACTGCTAGCTTCATTCCTACAACTATAATCTTCTCCATGTTGATACCAAATATAGTATTGTGGCATGAAACCTCTATTTATTAAATGCTTCCAAACATTTTCACGAGGGCCTAATTTTGTATTGTTGCATTTCCGACAAGGACATAGCATCTTACCGCTTTCCTGCGTGAGCGATGTAGAATCTGCTTGATGCATAAATGTCTCCAACCCTTCGAGAAATTATTTCGTCACTCTCCCGCTGTTATCTCTGTGTGTATACATCCACCTCCGTAACTCGAAATATTTCCAGGACTGGACCTTTTTATTTTCTTTCAAGCTTATAGCTGATTTTGTTTTGGTGTGTTTGAAATGAATCACAAATTGTCATATTTATAGAAATTTTTGATTTGGTAGGTAAACATTTACTAGGAATTTACGAGGAGAAGTTGTTAGAATACATATTTTTAAATTTAAAATAAAAAAGCCTCACAATTTCCTCGTAAAATCGCAGTTTAATATTTCCTCGTAAACTCCTAATCAACCTTACGAGGACTTTACGAGGAAATTAGAAAAGCCATGTAGTTTCCTCGTAAAATTATTAGGACTTTATAAGAAAACACTTTTCTGGATACTTTACAAGGAAAGTACGTGGAACCATAATTTCCTCGTAAAGTCTTCGTAATGTTGCCGTAATGTTTATACGGAAACATTTTCCTCGTTAATAATCCTAGTTATAAAATCGTTTTCTTGTAGTGATATGATATCCTAACTACACAGAGTTCCTATGACATCCAATCAACGAGTTCCAAAAGGGTCACAGCCAGATTGCAGTTCTCTATAAGGATCTTGACGTCCATAAAAGAAAACGAAAGGCACTGTGGCACAAACTGTTTAAAGACAGTTGTACGAAACTAAAACTTCAGACTGAAGCATATCAGACGTGGGGCATATATGCTTGACTTGAGTAATTTCGGATAGTTAACATTAAGATCATCTATATGGTCAGAAAAGACGTGGGCTTTCATATGATAGTTGGGCCTGGACGTGTCACGGTATTCTCCAAAACCTTGGATTTCAACACGTTGAAGAGTTTTCCTTTCAAGATTGAAGTAGAAAACATAAAACGGTTGTTTGGATATATAATCAGCCATCGAAAACATGATTTCACCCGTAGAAATCACTCCAACAACTGATACGTACTCCGGGAAGAAGTTATCACCCTTCAAAATGTAGGCATACTTTGACCATTCTTGCTTTTCCACATCCTCTAGAACCCACACACACAACTCCATTGTATCATCAGTGATATTATCACGATAGATAACACCTAGTTTACCCTTATAGTTTATCAGTTCACAACAACTTTCCAGATAAATAAATTTGAAATTCTCAGCCCTAACATCAAAGCAAACTATTGCCAGAGTAGACTTCCCTTCAGACACCTCATACGCAGACGTATCACCTAAGTAATACAAAACCCCATTAATACTTACCCCTTGACTCACACCCTCATGTATTAAGGAACATTTGATCTTTCTCCACCTCATGCCTCTTGTTCCTAATGTCATAATTCTGTGATCATCAGGACCACTTGGATAAGCCATGAACAATGCCTTGCATTTCTTGCTAATCGGATCAAACCCAAAAAAGCTATACGACTTTCTGCACCTATTGATATAAGGTAAAGTCTCATGCAGTCCTGCTTTAGGGTTACATATAACAGGCATAGCCATATGCAAATTTTCAGTTACCACGATAAGAGATCTTCATACCGTCTGGAGGAAACTTCATATGAAATTTGGGGGTTGCTACTAGAGACGAAGAAGGCTTCTCATATGGGCTCAGACGCTGAGGCAACGAGAAATATGATGTACATAGCATCTTATTCGATTACGAATAAGAGACGCGGCTGAGCCGAGGACTTGATCAGGAACAAATCTTTGAAGTATAGACGATCAAGTACTGATGCCCATTTTTTCGACAGGCAGTGAAACCTAGCGATTGACTTTGCTGGTAATCTCGACAATATCTCGAGGCTGAGGTCCATTTGTATTGAATCTGAAATCATGATCGTTTTGGTTGGCTGATCGAAGAGAGATGTTAAAATATAAATTAAGACCTAGAGACACCTAACTACTATATATATCGTGAAATGAAACATAGAGCAGCGGAGAACAATTAGGGCAGCCTGAGTCTGACTGGTTCAGACGCAGCGGTTGCGGTTGCAGGAGTTTGTGGATACGGATGATTGCGGTTTCTTGTGGTTTTAAGAGATTTGTACGACTACTACTGAAATTACAAATTGGTGTGTTTGCGCGATATTTATAACTGGTTAACTACCAAATACAATAGCGATTAAAATATAAATTAACAATACTTACATTTTCTATAATTAAAAAACATATCAAAAATCTGATATTATAATAAATATAGAAATCATACTTATAAAGTTATAGATTTAAAATTTTAAAATTATTGAAAATATTTTTATATTTTTTAATAATATTAATTAAAATATAATATATAATTTTTAGTATTTTTATAATTCCAATTTAAAAAATTTATTGAATATTTTTGTTTTGTATTTATATTGTTTTTTTTTAAAGAAAAAAAATCACCCTTCCGCCCGCAATCACATACGCTAGTTGAAACCAGCTTTTGAATTTAAGAGGTTTAAAGCGGTTTGAAGCGGTTCAGAGTGGTTTGAGTGATTGTTGCAAAACGCCAACAACCACGACCAACCACAAAAACTTCGTTTGCGGGTGATAGAGGGAAAACCAGTTAGGCCCTTAATCCCAAGAATAAAGGAAAAAAATCCTGCTGATCGATGAGAGATGTAACATTTAGGAAGAATTAAGAAAAAAAGAATCCAAAATCTAAACTTATAAAAATAGCCCATATGTTTTAAAACTAAATATATACACTTATGTTAACATATTTATACCTAAGTTACATAATTAATTAAGAAAATATAAATTCTAGATAACATGAATATAAATAGCTTTTTCAACTATTAAGATCAAAACAAATTTTCTTTCATATATGACATAACTTAAAGAAAAATAAATTTAAATTACAATGTGTTCTGTTTTCCTGAATCCAAATTGGGAAATGACTCTCATCCCCTTAGTCTTTCGTTTTTTTTTTTAAATGTCCTAATCCTATTTAATTTTTTAATTATTACCCTTTTTAGCCTTTGATTTAATTTAAAACTAGAAGCTGACCCATGCACCTACATGACTCTTTTTTTCAAGAAAATATACATATAAATTCTCTATAACACAAAATGTTATAGTTGAACGAACATGCATTCATATAGGTGTTTGTTTGATTTGTAATATACAAAATTTGTGATAGATCGGTGATTTTTAAGTCTGTGTAATTTATTGATTTCTCATACTGTGATTGGATACAAAACCAATCAAAATAATGTGTTAGCATATTTATCAATTTATATTTTTAAAATAATATAACCATTTGATGTATTTATTTATAAACAAAAAATATGAGTTATTATGTTTATGAATACTAATAATATATATTTCAAATTAAATATATTTTTGTTTTAATAAGATATAAATATATATCTCTAAGTTTTTTATTGGCTAATAAATGCCACTTCAATGTTTATTTTTGAGAAAATATTAAACTGAATTTTTTTGTATTCTTATAATTCAAATATATATGTGGGAATAATATTAATCATCACTTTATTTAACAAATAGTTTTAAAATAACTTTATATGTTTTAATAAAAACATCTACAATTATATTTTGTATGTGAGACGAAATAATTATACATGAATATATAACATTTAGTTTATAGTCATATTTAATTTTTTTTTACTTGTATTGTAAAATTTGAGTAGAGAATAATCATAAGTTTGGTACGTTTGTTACAGAAGAACCTAACAAAATCAATAGTTTGGCTAATTAATTTGGATAGAGAAGAATCTAAAAAAATAAATGATTTGGAGTTTGTTAATTAATAGTTATTTATTCAGTGGCACAAATTATAATTATTAGGATGAAAAAAGAATTATATTCCAAAAGTACTTCAGTTTTAATAGTATATACTAGAATTTGATTGATCTGCGTTAAAACGTGGGTTTTATTTTTATTGGTTTACAAAGTTGGCAAAAAAATTATTGTAGATGGTAATCTATTAGATTATATGTTCAGTTATTTGGGATGGTGTTGCTATAATATCTGATTTTATCAGTAGCATTAAGCTAATATGTTAATAATTAGTACTTAAGAAATTTGTGTTATCCATAGCTAATCCCAATTGCAATCTGATTTGATTGCAACTCCTGAAATTAAAAGCATTTTAATTAAACATATGTGTTTCATATATGTTAATTAAGCATTTTTGTTTGTAATAATAGAGAGTATATCACTTAGTAGGATTCAGAGCTGAAGAGGAAGCCTCCCAGAGATGGCATCATTTAGCTCTTGTGGAGGAGAAATTTCTTATGCAGAAATCGCGGATTCAGTGGTTAACTCTTGGGGATCAGAATACTACTTTTTACCATCATGCAGTCCAGGATCATGCAGCGAGAAATAACATTAACGTGCTGTATACTGAATCTGGAGAGGTGCTGACTGACCCCTCAAGTATAAAGAAGGAAGCGGTGGATTACCTTCAGAATTTTCTCCAAGCGGAGCCTGCTCGCAGCATTCCGGTTTCGGTTGAGGACCTGCAGACCCTCATGAGTTTCCGTTGTTCTCCGCAACACAGAGCTCACCTGGTCTCTCCTGTCACTCCCAAGAAATTATTCAAGCGCTCCAGGCTCTCCCAAATGGCAAAGCTCCAGGGCCAGATGGCTACTCTAAGGAATTCTTTATCGCGGCTTGGCCAGTTGTTGGTAAGGAATTCATTGTGGCGATCCAGTCCTTCTTTTTATTTGGATTCCTCCCAACTGGGGTCAACTCTACTATATTGGCTTTGATTCCTAAGAAAATTCCAGCTCAAACCATGAAAGATTATAGGCCAATCTCCTGCTGCAATCTTCTCTACAAGGTTATTTCAAAGATACTTGCAGCTCGCCTTAAGTCAATCCTCCCTGCTGCCATTGAGCCTAATCAGAGTGCGTTTGTACAAGGTAGGCTGTTACTTGAAAATGTATTGCTGGCGACAGAGCTAGTCAAAGGCTATCATCTTCCTGCCATCTCTGATCGGTCTATGCTAAAACTGGATATCTCTAAAGCATTTGACACAGTTAAGTGGAGTTTTATCACAGCAGTTTTGCAGGAAATGGAGTTGCCATGTCGGTTCATCCAGTGGATCTACCTCTGTATCTCCACGGCATCTTTTTCTGTGGCCATCAATGGAGAGCTTGAAGGTTTCTTCACAAGTGCTCGCGGAATAAGACAAGGGTGCTCCCTCTCCCCTTACTTGTATGTCATTGTGAATAATGCTCTATCAGGTATGCTAAACCAAGCCGCAGTAGATGGTCGTTTCGGTCATCATCCGCAATGCCAAAAGGTTCAGCTAACTCATCTCAGTTTTGCCGATGACATTCTTATTTTCACTGATGGAAGTGCACGATCTCTTGATGGGGTTCTGGACGTCATGAACCAATTTGTGGGGATGTCTGGTCTGCAAATAAATATCTCCAAGTCTTCCATCTTCGCAGCAGGAGTAAACAAACATCTCTTGATTCAAGCGGCTCAGGCTCAGGGATTTGGCACAGGGACTTTACCAGTCAGATATTTGGGGATGCCGCTCACACCGAAAGCATGGACTAAGCTTGATTATGAACCTCTCATTGATCAGATCCATAACAAATTCCTCTCTTGGACCCATCGCGCTCTCTCCTTTGCCGGCCGGCTTCAACTAATCAAATCGGTAATCACAAGTACAATCAACTTTTGGAGCTCAGCTTTCATCCTTCCCCAAGGCTGCTTGGATACCATTGAGAGTATGTGTAGTGCTTTCTTATGGTCTGGCTCGCCAACTATTACACACAAGGCTAAGGTTGCGTGGATTGATCTCTGTTGTCCCAAAGACGAGGGTCATTTAGGTTTACGGCGTCTCTGTGACACTTCACGGGTATTTGCTCTTAGACTTATTTGGAAACTTTTCTCTTTATCTGGTTCACTCTGGGTAGCCTGGACTCGTGAGTATTTACTTCGGAACAGCTCTTACTGGGACGCAAATGAGAACAAAGGCTCTTGGGTATGGCGGAAGCTACTTAGGCTGCGACCTTTTGCCTATGAGTGTCTTCGCTTTGAAGTTAGGGATGGTAACTCTGTTCACTTCTGGTTTGATGACTGGCTGAAGATGGGGAAGTTAGTGGATATAACAGGGGAGCTTGGGATCAGTTATCTAGGAGTGAGTAGAAATGCTACATTGGCTGAAGCAAGTGCTGATGGCCACTGGAATATTCGGAGGTGTGGACAAAGGAGATATCCCCAGCTGTGCGAGGCTATAACTGCAGCTTGCGTACCTGACTCAAGTGCAGGGCCAGACCGTGCCTTGTGGCGACATGACAATGAGGATTTCAAACCCACTTTCTCTGCTGCGAAGACTTGGAACTACCTCCGATCGGCAAAGAGCAAAGTACCTTGGTACCGTCTGGTATGGTTTCCTCAGGCCATCCCAAGACAATCTTTCATGGCCTGGCTTGCACTTAAGGACAGGTTATCTACTGGAGTTCGAATGCGGAGTTGGGGTATAGAACATGGCTGCGTATACTGTGGTGAGAGAAATGAGGACAGAGATCACCTAT